CTTTTAAACTAACATAAATATGTATAAGATTAAGAAAATCTAAACAAGCAATAGAAACGCTTAATAATTAGCGAAAAAAAAACTACTTGGAATTACGACCGAGAAAGGAAATGTTGTTTGATGTTGTTTCAAAGTGATAAAAAAAAAAATGATGTCGATACAATTTCACAAACAATACCAAACCAATACTTCAAATATTTTATTTTTACTGAGAATAACATGTATATAATTCAAACGTATAAACAAATATATATATATATATTACCTATATCATATACCATCATACCGATGGAACATATAATTGCCAACTCAAGTAGAGCAAAATGAAAAGTAGCCTAAAGTTCAAATTTTTCAAATGAAGAACGTATCAACAAAATGTTTGTTAAAATTGTAGTATATCCTATATACATCACATTAGTTTCCGATATACTTGGGAGGATTACATTTTCAATAAAATTGTTGTTGCAGCATTACGACTGAGAAAGAAAAACGTAATCAAATATCACCTAGTAGATACAGCTCGAGACTGTTCGGTTGATACTCGGTTTATTGACCGCCAACCGAGGAGTACACTGAGCTGGTGACCTAGGAGCCGCGTCGCGTAAGACGAGTAACGGTGTGCGACGGAACCAGTTGGTCTTACTGGAGGAAGATAATAAGATAATAGATGGAGAATTAATATAAAAAAAAATTAAAATGCTGGCAGTGTAATACGAAAATGAGATTTCTTATTGTGAACAAACAGAAAAAATGTTTTTAATTTTATCATACGGTAGTGTTGTATTGCGGCTCCCGTTATGGGTTACGGGATAAAGACACTGTTATTTACATAATACCTGGAACACGGATAGCACTAATGATACGTTGATAAAAACATGAACCACGGTTGACACGGAAAAAGGACGGTGACCTCAGAAGCTTCCCCGCCGAGGACAGATTGGTCACAATTGTCGACGTGTATCGATGCAGTTAAATAACAGAAATAAAAAAAAATCTAATAATAATAATAATAATAACTAGTGATAAATCGAACATGGGCAGTAACGGACGAATGAAAAACCAAAACAACCCGTGTCCACGATGTTCCGAAGCAAGAGAGCGCGTGTTTCTTGGATTTGTGAGCTATCTACACAATATTGAAAATAATAGTACACGGGACAAGGGCACGAGGACGCGATTATCGGGCTTGTCCGGGGAACACAAGACGGTTAAAACAATAATAATAATAGCAATCGATAGTGATGACGGTAAAAAGAAACAGTCATAAAATAGTATGCTGAATCGCGTGGCGTTCCGGTGTACACAAAAGTTCAATGGAATTCTTCTGGACACGAAACGTGACCGACCGGCTGCGGTGAACGTCTGAAGTTCATGTGGATACCGTTGATTTTTTTTCTCGTCGGGTTCCCGCAGGAACAATGGTTCGGAAACCCGCCGCAACGGTCAACGAAATCTTTTATCGCATTGTGGAGTTTTTCACGACGGACTGTGGAATAAACCGTAACAATAGACCGTCGTCGAATCGATTTGATCTACCAAATGATCCTTTGAAATGACTACGAAACCGACCAGTGTATAATCGATGTCGGACGGTTTTCTATTGAAAACCGTTTCGGACCGACGGGGCGTTCGCGTATTGTTGAACGTGCGTGCGACCATGGACCCCGGTGCTGCGGCGAGTCGAACAACTTGACCGCCACCCGAATAGTTTTATCGACGACACGCTGTAATATATTGTCGCTTTTAGCGGACCCTTGCACACAACCAATAGAATCGTGCACATAAATTTATATTATTGTTAACAGTGTTCAGATTAAGCATTGAAGGATTGTTAGATGTGTCAAAGAAATCAAACAGGGTTTGAGATTCGTCGCACCGCACAAAACGTTATTTGCGCATTCGAACAATATGACGTCGTGCAAAATCATAATATTAAGTTTATTAATATAGGTAAACCATCAGACAAACATTCAATAAATTGTCAAAAGATGTAATCGTACATCTGTTCGCCGAAAATTCTTACAGTCGTCTGGTTCAGTCATTCCTAGAAAAGTTCAATAATTGTTCACGGCTATATTGCGCACTTCGTTTATACTGCTCTCTCGTCCAACGTCTTTTCTTATTCGTTTCTTTTTTTTTTCTTTTGTTCGAGTCCAAATTTAACCGCGACGCAAATCAATTCCGTACGTTTAAAATACGTTCTGAAAACAATGAGAATTTATAACCGATGGTAAAACGCAATCACGCTGACGCATACACCGTAGATCAGTCGACACGTATATTTTTCAACCGTATATTGAGCAATCATAACGAGTGGTTTAGCGCGGCAAACTAACGTTGCACAAACTATTGACACGGTTCAACTGACTCGACGTTGTTGATCACGTTGGGTCCGCTTTATAGTGCAACCGTAAATCAATCTACGATGCCGAAGCAGTAGTTCGCCTGGACGCCTTTTGGTTCTCGTCGCGCGGTTCGACAAGACGTTTGTAACAATGCTAATTTCACGAGATATATGTCGCACGCGAGTTATGAATACATTACTCTGCTGCACGTACGTTTTGATAAATTTCGCCGTGACCTGTTGCAGTAAGGTCAACCCTTTCGATGGGTCGCGGTCAGGGGCGGTGGGGGAGGCCGTGTTAATCGGATTACACGCGATCGCTACCGACACGCGTACACGTCTCGGAACCGATGAGATGTTCGGGAGCGTTTCGTAAACCCTTTTGCTTGGCACAACCGTCTCACGCAGGCGTTGACACGCGCTCGTGTGCGCGAGTGACGGGGACGCGATGATCGGGCACGAAACGTGCACGCCAAACCGCCAGCCGCTCTCCTGCTCGTCCTCGTCCTGCCGTCACCGTCCCGTCCTGCCGTCCTGCCGTCAAGGGTTGCGTGCGGTGTGCGCGGCACCGTCACGTCGCCAGAGAAAATATTTCGGCTCCACGCGTTTGTCTTCGCCTCGTAAGCTCGCACATTTATCACGCATTGAACTCGTCTCGAATACGCGTCTCGATTTTCGCCTACCCGACTCGTGTAGTCGTCTTACGCCCTCCTCCCCGCGACCGTTGCCGTCTGCGGGTGAACCAAAACGCGCGCACGCAGGCCAACGGGGAAGCTTTAAAACGATTCTCGCGAAAATGAAAAAAAAACTTTGCTTTTATTATTTCGTTATCGGTAACGTATCGTTATCGTATGAAACCGACGTCCGCGATACGCGCCGTACCTACGGATTCCGAAAATCAAACACTACGCATGACCAACGCCTCCAAAAATCGTACTGGAGCTGAAGCCCCTGACCATCTGTTATGGTCACCGCGGCTTAGTAAAAACGTTTTGAAAACGAACGGGGCCAACGATTTCAGTTCAGTTCGGTTGTCGGCAACTCGTTAATGTCGGGCGAGGCACATTTCGATTTCAACGACGAACGGACGTGTTCGTTTCGAAAGATACTCTTAACGCTAGGTAAAAACGTTGGTTTCCGATTGAAAAAATGTCAGGTAAATACAATGTTCTGCTTCGGTGAGAGACTTTTCTCTCTCGCATTTCTCCGTTTTCCCGAAAGAACTTACGCCCCACGCGTGCACCGATATACAAAAACCCATAACAACCAATGAGGTCCCTGGTTCGCCACTGCATACACCGTCGGTCGTTTTCCTCATCACCACTCGACGCCGTCATTAACGCACATGTGCGGCCCACCCGTCGGTACAATGTACAGGGTGCACGTTGCCGTTCGTGCTCGCGTACCTGTTACGCTGCGAGCCGTCATACTCGTCTAACAAATGGGACCGCGGTATAATGAATGATTAATCGCACCGTGTATTCTCGTCCTCCGAGATGCGTGCGTGCACGCTTCACCTGACACTCCTTCTCTCGGATACGCAACCTTCTTTTTTTTTATCAATAGACGTCGCATTATTTCTCGCGGATCTGGAAAATAATGGCCGAAAGAAAAATAACGCCGAGCGAACGATCTATCTTATCGGATTCAGATGTGTACTTTGCATTTTAACAGCGCCACGGTCTCTATATATTGTTCGACGTTATAAATGTATAATATTATTATAATAAAATCCCGTTGTTTTTTTTTATCAAGCTTTCGGTTATTGTTTACGTACTTAGGTCTCAATTAGACATCGCCTGATCGCTACCGCAAAGATATGCTTGAATTCTGACAGTTTTTTTTTTTCGTAACAACGAACGTTTTCATGGTTCTAAAGTTTGTGCAAAAACGTTCGTGTCTCCGCGAACAATTTACCTAACGAAACAGTTTCCTGTGAACCAACTAATTTTAAATTAATAAACCGAAAGTTAGCGTGCGAAGATTTTCAACATATATATTTCGCAGTGGATTTCACTCGGAATGGCTTTTCGATGATTTATCATTACCCTCAAATGCATGCGAACAATAATAGTAATAATACGAACAGCGCAACGGAGGACCAACTCTTGGAAACTATTTATTACTCGCACATCGTTTCTACGTATCATTATACCGCACCATTATTCTCGTCTTCTGGAGTACGTTTATCGTAACAATACCGTCTCTCAAATAGAGCTCTTTAGTGATTATTTTTTTTTTCCAATACGTTTTTTATCGTACACTTGCGACTGTCTGTTCTCCTCCCGGACGCCCCGGTTCGTCTGCGGGCGGCTGAGGTTTTCCTGTTGTTGTCGTCGGACACGACGACGATACCGATCGCGACTCGCACATTGTACCCAAGGCCGGATTAAAGGGAGGAGGAGGGAATAGCCGGGATGGGAGCTCCGAGACCCAAAGCATTTTGAGCCGATACACATTTTTTATCATAATAAAATTAGTACCAGTTTTATAGGCATCAATTCTATGATGTACCTATTAATTTTATAACGCAATTGAAAGTTTGTGAAATAGTTAAAAAAAATGTATCGTTCTGCGAGCGGCTTTATAAGCTTTGATTGTGTACCGCACACATATGCGTGCGGATATTATTAACGTTTCGCATTTTCCTTTGCAGGCAAACTGGTGACGTACACGCAGATGCCGGCGCCGCAAGAACCTCATCGGGGCGACCACATTCAGCCTGCCGCCACGGCCGAGGGTGGGAACGGTACGGACCAACTGTACCCGTTTTTCGATTATTACGTGCCCCGCAACATCACCACCACGATCGGGCAGAGCGCGTTCCTGCACTGCCGGGCGGAAAACCTGAACGACAAATCGGTAAGTGGCGCGGCGGCACACGCGCGATCCGCCGCGTAGTGTTCGAACACGACCCGTCGTAGTACTCGTTCGGTACGGGAACACCTCTAAGTTCAGTGGCAAACGCAGAAAATAATTTCAGGAGGGGGGGAGTTATGATTTAAAATATTCATAAATATTATATAATCGTATTTTATACATCAATTTACAAACCACGGGAAACTTTTAAATAATTAATATTTTTTTTATTTATTTTTTTAAATTAGTAATACATTTGTAGGTCAGATAATTTATTTTTTGTTCCTGATATTTCGGGGAGGGGGTTAACCTCCAACCCCCCCCTACATTCGCCCCTGCTTCTGTTCGACAGAATACAGTCATGAAACTTCCTTGCGGCAGCGGACGTTCGAAAACGTATCCACCGTTGCGAAGACGCGCCCCAGTGGTGTGTCGAAAAATACAATGACAACCGATCGATCAAGTCGTCCGTGTGCGTACTAACTAACCGTAACTACTACGGTTGACGTTTTGAGCGAATGCGCTTACTATGTGTGTGTATTAGTATGTACCGAGAAAGCTTTTTTTCGAAAATTACACTTTTAAAGACCGAAACTAGTTTTGGCCTCTGAGTTGAACGTATCGTTTTTTTCACTTCTCGGTTGCCCACATAATATTTTTATCACGTTCCATGTATGATTCGTAGATTGTAATAATTACCATTACAATGTGTAAATAATTTTATAGTACGAATAAACAATTTAAATATCAGTCGACCCAGTGGTCTGTGTGATTTTTACAACGTACAATTTTATTTTTATTTTTACATCTAAATATTAATTGCTCTGATCTAAAATAGTTAAATATCTCCTAGACGAGTCCGGATAATGCAGCTAGTTATTTTTGTAAAATCCTTGGTTTAGTTTTTGGAAACTTATGTAATAATCTTTTCGAGTGAGAATATAGTTTTATCTCGTGTTGAACGATTTCGATCGACTCGTTTTACATCAACGCTATGTATTATTTTACTGAGTTATTATTTAACTGCATTTAGAAAATTTCATACGATACATCGACTACATGTTGTCGATCAGGTTTGTTGTGTTTCAAAAATAATTACAAGACCGTATTGATATCAGAGCTTTACACAAAATTACATTTGGTGGATATGTAAGACTCGTTCTGTGAAGTTTTTCCGATCAAATGTTTTCAATATGTATTTTTTACTGACTTCCTTTGTTCAAGCATGTTTCATTTATAAAAATGTCAACCATATTTTCACACCTGAAAAATGATTGCGAATAAAAGTTTTTTAATCAGAGTATTTTAAAATACGAGAAACAAAATATTTCTAAATACTTTAATGTCTGTTGAACAAATGATTTAAAAGTAAATTTACTCCTGTTATATTTTTGTTTCGAAAGATATAATAAAAAAAAAGTATCAACTTTGATAAATAACATACTTTAACGTGAATAATTTATTTTCACGCAAAAAATTAATAAATAAAGTGATAGAAACATTTTCATATAAAAATTGACCATAAATAAATTGACTAATTCTTATGATGTCTTGATATATTGAACAACAATTATGAAAAAATCAATGTTCTGTGTATTTCAGATTGAATACACGAAAATATCAATAATTATTAGTAAAAAAACACTTGATCCGATTTTTCTATTTAAAAAACCTTCCAAAAACCATTCCATTAATATAATATAGCATAGATATAAAAAATTCCAATTTTATTTTCAATCTTACTTATTGTAATCATTGTTCTAAGAATATAATTTTTCAATGATAAAATATTCTTTTCCTATAAAAGAAATAAGTACGTGTTTTTAATATTAAAACCTTTATTAACCAAAAACTATGTATTTTATTATATTAATCGTCTCTTTTCACACTGCAACAAAACAAAATAATAACTATTGTCATTTAACAGTTACTCTAATATTGAAATTTTAATGTCTACATGTGAATAATTTAAGATTTAATTTCATCTAACACTATAATTTCTGATGACATCATACGTTTAAATTTTGATTGTGTGTTGTCTACATACAAAGAATAAAATTATTTGATAGCGTGGTTATACCAGAATAAAACCGGTGTTAACAAAAAAAAAAAATTAAGTTTTTGTTTCGTTGTTCATTTTATAAAATTAAAAATTACAGCTTTTGCATTAATGCAATGAAATAAATACAACGATGGTTCAACAGTTTTGAAGTTTTTTTGTTAACTCCATTTCAAAAATTCGTTACAAGCTATTTCAAAACTAATGTTTTATTACATCAGTTATGTTTTTGAATAATATTTTAAACACAATTTGCATTCGAGTAACATTTTATGGTTGTAATAGGTGTGGAGAAATTAACTTGTAATCTAGAAGATGACAATTAGCTGTTTTTTTTTATCAAATTAAATTATGGTACAAATCAATACACTCAAAAACAGAAACAATCTCGATTTAAAATCAAACAATTTTCTTGAGCTAGTCGGAATATGATTCAAGTGGCGTTAACATTGTTTAAAATTATATATTTCATAAGAAGACGTTAAAAGTCGAAGATAAAAAATTATATAGACTATCTGGCTTACGTAATACTGACTGGATTTAATATTTAGTATAAAACATCTTAAGAATTTAAAAACGTAAGATTATCATCTAAATAATCATCATTGTGGTTTGGAATTTATGTACGAACTTGAAGTTAGAGTTTTAATTTACTTTGTGGAACGTTCGATGAAACGATTTCAATATCGTTTGACCAAAACGCGGGAGACCGCAGTAAGAAGTTTTAAGGTAGATTACAAACTCCAATGGGTCTAAAGGCTTTTCATCATCGATAACCCATCGTATAACCTATTTATACGTAAATAATATAAACCAAGTTCCAAAACCTGTTAAATTCCCCGGGGGTGTTATTCTGCACACCTATATAGATATTTGCAGATGCCATATGAGCGATATTTACCATATCACACAATAATAGTCTAATATCTTTACATCTTAAATTAAGTTGTCGGGCAGGCCACCTTTGTTCGAAAAATGTGTATTATTGGTTAGTTAAATATTAAATGAATTTTCAATTATTTTTCATCCACCGAAATTAATGTAATATCTCGATATACTTCGAATCCGTAAACGCAACAATTGCCACTCATTGTGATTGCATCAACTAACTACAACTAAAACTATGAGTTAACATCAACAGGAGTATATGAATGGTTTGTCTAGGTCATTTACTCATTTTTAATCTACTTACTTACTATAAAATCATTGAACTGAAAATTCCAAGAAAATCGCATATTAATTTTACACTGAAAAAAACGTATATAAGTGAAAACAAAGTAATGTTTTGAAAATATTAAACTACCTTTTAACTTTTATAGTTACTGTTTTTACAGGAAATAATTTGTCTCTATTTTTTTTAAACTCAAATAAAGTTTATGTTTGTACACAAAAATTATTAAATAATACATATAAATGAACACATATAAAATATAAACAAAATAAAGAAACGATATTTGCTATAGTACATATTTTTCGACCAAAATACATAAATGTATACATAATATTGTATTTTCTAAGTTTATACTCAAAGTAGAATATTTTCAAACGAAAAGGAAAAGTTTAATAATGCGTAAACTAAAAGAAAATAATAAGAAAACTCATTTAAGTTTCAAAAATAATATAAATACAGAGTTGAAACTTTTAAGGATACACTCGAAAAATAATTTTAAGTGGATTTCCAAGCTCTAGGAATATGCAAAACTGTACAATAATACGTTACATTATTTTTAATCACATGTTACAGAATTTATCAATTTCTAAAACTATTGCTCGAATTATTGATATTGATACCCAATAAGAATATACTATAACTTTTTAGAAAAGCTGTAAAATTAAAATATTGCAAAATAAAAGTTTATGACATCAAAAAGATATTATGATTGAGTTGTAAACGATTTGTCTACAGTCTTTATATAAAAAATACTGAACAATCAAATTGGCGTTAAAAAATCAAGTTTATAAAAAAAAGTAACTTTACTTAATGGTTAAAGCCTAAATGAGTCCATATTGTTTTGTTTGACTCGACAAAAAATTTGGGAGTATTTAACTCAAACAATAATGGTACTAGTTAATTTTTAAAAATATAGTTTTTGAAAAATTACTGATTATAATCAGTGATTATAGAAATAAAGAAATTACCGAATAATAAACATGAAATAATCTACATACTCAATTCACATATCCAAGATTAAAACTTATAAATTACATATGAGAATTTATCTACTCTAGGACATTGAAAAATAAAATTACTTACACTCGTTTAATTAATATACATGTGAGCAACTAGCAAAAATGTTTTTGTTCATTTATCCAACCAAAAACTGTGGTCGAACGTTGGGTAAACGCCAACTTGTTTTTAACAATTTGAAAACAAATATAAATTGAAAAACTTTTTTTTTTTTACAATATCATTCGAATTCTTATCGTTGTTGTTGGTTATTTATAAGGCACCAACGATCGTTTTCAATTTTGATAGGTTTATTTTTTTTGTTTAAACGACCTAAATCTCTCACATTAAAAATAAGCCATTCAAGTAACTCCTAGTTATTCGACATTTAACCTAAATAAACGTCTCGAATTTTTTAATGACTAAAATCCGACGATAAACGTTGTAAGAATAAAATTAAAAATACGATGAAAGTGCTTTTACCGTAAGAATGGATTAATTGTAACTATTTTAGTTTTATATCCAAAATGTGCAGCTATACCGATATCAAACTTTACGATTATGAATACATTTTACGAATACGTTTAAGTAAGTGTTTTAAAAATATTAGTTTTACGATCCATAACTTTAACTTATGCAATGTCTACCTAACCCCGTACCAATAAACGTTCTTATTTATAACTTGAACCGTGTTATACATTTAACAGAACCATTCGTAGAACTATTAGCAAATTACCAGACTAGTTTTGTTCGACGATTACTTTTTTCCGCCCTTTT